CTTCCTTTTGGATTTCTCATCTGCCTTTGATACCGTAGATCATGGTATAATGTCTCAAAGGCTTACATCTGACTTCGGTATTTGTGGATGTGCACATAGGTGGCTGATGTCGTTTTTAACTGGTAGGACACAATTGGTTATTGGTTATTGTGTCATCTCGATCACATGACGTTACCTGTGGTGTACCCCAAGGGTCTGTACTGGGGCCACTACTCTTTATTATATACTCAGCACCCATTATACGTATTGCTGAATCACATGGAGTAGAATGCATGGTATATGCAGATGATGTACAATTGTACACCACCTGTTCGCATTCCAATAGAAGTCTTGCACTTAAAAGGGTCATCATATGCATCCAACACATAAAATCATGGGCTTGTTCTAATCATCTCTTCCTCAATGAGAATAAAACTAAGTTCATTCACTTCACCTCACGTTTTAATAAAAACGTGTCAACGATTCAAACTGTCACTATAGGGAATACGACTATATCAGCAAGTCAATCTGTCCGAAACATTGGTGTAAAGTTAGACAATACTTTGGGCATGAAGGAACATGTGAACTCCATTTGTCAGTCTTCTCTTAGGGCATTGCGTCAAATAAGCTCAATTAGGAAATATCTAGATCAAGCAACAACAACAAAACTTATTCATGCCTTTGTTACCTCACGTTTAGACTATTGTAACAGTCTCTTGACTTCCAAAATCTGAAATTAACAAGCTCCAACGCATACAGAACACAGCTGCAAGACTGGTTACAAAAACCAGACGCCATGAGGACATAACCCCAATTCTTCATTCATTTCACTGGTTCATCAACGGATCATTTTCAAGATTCTTTTGATTACATATAAGTCCAGGCATAACAATGTACCATATTACATCACATGCTTAATACAAGATCACTCCACCAAGCGAACATTACGTTCCAGCACTAAAGGGCTTCTTCATACCCCTAAAGCATTCACACAAACATATGGCAATTGTGCCTTTTCATTTGCTTCTCCAACCAACTGGAATAACGTCCCATTACAATTCAAACATGCAACTTCCATCATTACATTTAAATCTCTTCTCAAAAGCCATTTATTTAACTGACTTATGTTATGGTTTATAGAATGGCCCCGAAACTGCTAAATACCGGTGTCCGGCAGGGGATAGTTTAACTAACTGTAGTTAAGAGTAATATACTGTATTTAAGAGTAGTTAAGCCTAGCTTAAGGTAGTTAGGGACGTCCTGGGTACGACATTAAACTCCATCCGGTCGAAGCGTCGGCAACTAAACTGACAACCCTCTCAAATATGTCTTAGTGGCTGCTGAGGGGAGGGTGTTTATGGTCACCCAGCAGCAAGAAAAACCAATAGCTGAACAAAGGGCGGATGAGCTCCTCGGAGTCAACAGCCAACCATTAATTAGTTCAAGGAATAGGAGTAGTTTAGTCTCATTGTTATTGTTATTATGATTATTTTTGGTGATCCGCTACACTAGCAGATCACTTCTTGTTATTGTCAGGATCATCTTTTTTTTCTTATTCTTCTTTCTTTCTCCCCTTTTCTGTTCGCACGATATCTCAAAAATGCCACGAGTTACGCACAATCCCTGTCAGCGAACATTTAGATTGGTCTGGAATAGACATGGTAAGCTTTTCAACGCGCTCAGTCATGCGTGACGTCATCTACGCGCAATTTTGCGTTTTTACATTATCGATCATATCAGCCTAACCAATTGCCATTTCGAAATCGTATTAAGTGAGCATTAACTTCGGGTTAATGTTGAATGTACTGTACCCTAATTTTACGCGTCAAAATTTCAAAATGCTCGAAATCACTTTTTAACTAAATAAGAGTACGTTTCAGGCCATTTTGAGTATTTCACATTTTTTTTAAATTTTCCACTACGCGCTATACAGTGAAATTATGTATAAAACCATGAATATTTTTAATCAGTTATAGCTCCATAGGATGAAAGGTGACCCCCAATTTTTATATACGATTTTATATACGATTTTATAGATCATATTGGCTGATTGGACATTGTGACGTCATCATATTGCCATTTGAATTAAGAAAAAATTGAATTTTTATTTATGAGGTTATTACTTTTTATGCTCGTTTGAATGTACTCGCTTATCTTGATTGATTGTCTCCCACCTGTGAGTATGTTATAGCTAAATCAATTCTCTTTCGGACGTGTCCCTTTATTTTTTATTTTGACGTCATCATGGTCAAAATGAATGCTTTTTTTGGAGCCTTCTCATCTTTCTTTCTTGAAAGATGTAAACACATTGAAAATAGAGAGCGGCAGACTGTATTTCGACACTATCAGACCGATAGTTCGTATACTGTAAAGGCAAAATTCGTGTGGCATTACCAACCAACAGGGGGTTTTAAATTAAACTTGACAAGGTTTAAATTCATGTGTCATTACCGTCGTCAGTCACGTCGTATAAGGTATTCGTACTTGTGCGTTAAAATTTTAAAATTGTTAATATCACTTTTCAGATAATTTAAAGCATTCATTTTGAATATTCCAAAACTTTCAAAAATTTACGCGCCGTACGCTCATTTCCACACCCACAGCAAGTACTGAAGCTGGAAATTACGTTTTGGTTACATGTGTTGGGTTTGTGACACTGTATTAATACTACCGTGCGCACAGACGTTAAGACGTATGTGTACACATTCGTAAAGTCCTTAAAATGCTCAAAATTATCTTTTCTTTTAAAATTTCTTTTAAAATGCTCAAAATTACTCTTTAAATAAAGTATGTTTTAGCATACAATACTTTTCAATCAGAACCGCGCAGGCTTTGTGAGGGTCAAAGTACAGCGGATCACCAAACTCGTCCTCAGTGACGAGTTCAAATCTAGTTAAATATAAATATAACATTATTATTATTATTTATGTTCTTTTAAAGAGAAGAAGTAAAAGAATGAATAAAATGTTGTAATTGCTTAAACATGTTGTGATACTTTAATCTTTGTGTTGTTTGCAATAAAAGAAAGCGAGAACACCCCATTGTGCACCCCACCTTACAATGGTATAATGGTAGACGAGGTTGACTGATTTGTTTTGATTAAAGTCAGGTCATTTAATTTAATGTGCTTTTAACCTTCCCCCAAACTAAAATGTTAAGACAGACCAATTTTTTAAAATTTTCATACACATTGTATTACTGTATTCGGCAGCATCTCATGCTGCATGGCACTTGGGCGTATGTGACACCAAAGAAAAAGGTAAAGCTGGCCAACATGTATAAACAGTTATTATTATTATTGTTTATTGTTTTGTTACCGCCCTGTTGAGAAAGCATAATATGAATAGGCTCTGTTTATATTCCTAGCTATCAGTAACCAAAATACGATAGATGAGGGGAAAAGTATAACATATAGAGGAACTCCAAATAGAGTATTTTGATATGTTTTTGTGAATGCACCAATTATTATTGCCCCAGATACGATGTATATTCGAATAAGTAAATAGAAATATATATATTTATTCGCTCAGAAGGATGTCAATTCGACCAATGAAGTCTGAGTAGGTATAAAATACATTGTATCAACTTGCATCCACTTAAATTTATATTATGTATACTGTAGGCCTCTAACAAATTAAATAACAAAATAAATTACTTTATACAAAAAGACGTAGGCCTAACACAATGGAGTTGATCAGTTGAGAAAATCAGGCCTTTTTATGATTAAAAAGTTTAGTCCAGTAGAATTATTATAATCTAAAGCACAAAGTTTTCTGTCAGAATCACCGGCCAACTGGCCAGGAATGCAAGAAATGGCTAACCTAAATATAATCGCTGCAGACGACCCAGAGGTTAAAAGAGAAGTAAATGCTGCACATTTTACCAGATGACATGAAGCATCTAATTCTCATTCCAAGGCATTCACCCATTGCCAAGGCAATAATTCTAGACATTCACAAAGAAATTGGACACTTTGGAAGAAATGCCATACTAGAGTCTTAACGCTCTAAGACGTTTCATTGCACGAAGAGGTAAGGTTTCTTCAATTACGTCTGATAATGGAACCAACTTCATTGTGACGGAGCGAGAACTAAGAGAAGCCACCAACGCATGGAACGACAGTAACATACCAACATGGTTAAATCAGCACAACATCAAATGGAATTTCAACCCTCCTGCAGCCTCCCATTTTGGCGGAGTTTGGGAGCGGCAAATATGAACAGTCAGGCAAGTGATGAGAGGAGTATTAACTACCCTCTCCAGTGAATCCAAATGATTTAAGGCCTTTAACACCAGCAATGCTATTAACCCCAGCAATGCTATTAACCCAAAGACAGACTCAAACTATGGCTCCTGGTGTATTTAATCAAAGAGACATCTATGCAAGAAGACGGTGGCGCCAGGTCCAGTATTTGTCCGACCTATTTTGGGTAAGATGGTGAAAAGAATATTTGCCAAATTTACAGAAATGCCAGAAATGGTTAGCAGTCCATAGAAATCTGCAAACCGGTGATATCGTTCTTGTTGTGGACAATACATTGCCAAGAAACTCGTGGCTGATGTCTAGAGGGACTGAAGTGAGAAATGACAAAAGCGGACTTGTGCGATCATGTGCCGTCAAGACAAAACGTCCAGTTGCCAAGTTATGTTTGCTACTACTAGAGGCAGATGACTATCATTAATTTAATCATTAATTTGTTGTATTGGGATAATGATTCTTCATATATAATCATGATTTATCTTAAGAAGTATATGCTGTATTATTATTATTATTAAAACACTCTCTAATTATTTAACCCTCAAAGGTCAAGCATCGTGTGAAATACCCCTGTGGTGCTTGTGCCAAAAGTCGGGAACAGTGTGTTGTGGCAGTTGCAACCAGTGGTACCATCAGAAATGTGAGGTGTTGTCTGAAATGCATTTCTTCAGCTTGGTGGAACTTCCTCTTGAGTATGTGTGCTGGCAGTGCTGTGGAGAACCCTTTGATTGCAATCCTGCGTTGCAGACTTTCTAATGGAGTTTGGAGTTACCCTATGGCACTTTGGTTGAACATGGACAACGTAGGCCTGACCAAGTGGCAGAGAACACCTTGCGTAGATTTGAGCGAAATCCCAAATATCTTCCCGTGGCTGTGAGTGGAGATGACAACTGCCTATTCAATATGAAAGTGAATCCAAAGCAACTGAATTAAGGTTACGGACTGCAATTGAAATGTTGGAGAACCCCTTGTATTATGAAAACATACATGATATTGTAAGTATTATATATTAGTAATTGTATAATATTTTCTCATAATTCCAATGCTGTATGTTTAAATATGCTTGTTTATATTGATTTAATTGTGTTGAATAATTTTAGTTTTTTATATAATGAATAATTCAATTTATTAATTCTAATTGCCAATGTATAATATTGTATTGTTATCGATGTTATTAATGTGCAATATTGTATTGTTATCGATTCTTTTTTGGTACTTTAGCTTTTACTGTATATTGTAAACTCATAAGAATTTCAACTTCTGTTGCATTTGGAGTGTATATACCAATAAATAAATAAATAAATAAATAAATGGCTCGAGAATAAGTCATGTTTCACCAGACTATGAAATTTCATGCAAGGACAGTCTGAGAGAAGGTGACTTTTCATCAGCATTGACAATGCATGCTGCTGCATCGGTCCTGGAAAGACCGATCAAATCGATCTACCAGCCTCTCAACGGACTAGTGGATGATTGTTTTGTTATGCTGAATAGACATTTTACACCCAGGACGTGGACTGTTTTTGCATCATCTGGGTCAACTGCGGGAACATGGACACCAAACCATTTCATACCTCTGTTACCTGTCAGGATTGACAAGACAGTGACAATCACCATCAAAAGTAGCCCAGAACCAGAGCTCCTAAAACATGGACGTGCTACATCAACACCACATCAGGTATGTATGATAAAGTGTATTTACCTTGCATCTATTAATCTCATACTTAACAAGGAAAAATGTTATTTCCTGAATAATTAACTATTCAGTAGGCCAATAATGGTATTTGCCTTATTATGATGTTTTGGCTTAACTAACAAAACTTTAGATTTCATTCATGGAAATAAATTGTCATTATCATAAAAACGAAAGACAAAATTTCATGTCAACAAATAATTGATTTGGCTAAGTGTTTTATGATTTTGAATTTCTTTTCTCAGTCCTTCGACGATGATTGGCTCTCTTTAGAAGAGTCCAGAACACGAAAATGCAAAGTTCGTACCAGAAAATCATCTCCAGCACTACAGGTATGTATGCAATTCAACATACTGTATATAAGGGCAATTCCATGCCAAAGTGGACATAACTAAAAAAAAAATATTACAGTAGCTACCTATAACATAATCAATAAATTGTAATGTTGTGCATTTTAGAACACAGGCAAACCAAAAACCATTCATTTTTTGGCATGAATTACCGTTTTTCCCGAGCTGTCCCACGCATACACTAGTTAACAAAATATTTTTAATGAGTGACTACCAAATAAATGGATGTGCAAATGTGTAGCATGACTTACTGTGGATTTGCCTATAAATCTATTTTGAAATAAATAAAATTATAAAATAATTAATTATTATTAATTTATTATTAAATCATAATTAATTAATAAAATTAAACCAGGGATGTGGTTAAAAAGCGGTCTGAGTTTGGCAAGAGGTAATGATAGTATGTTGGTAAATTCGTCTTTGATTCCGCTGAGGGATCTGTAGCACAGTACGAGTGCCATTTTTTGGCCTAAAGAGATCCCCCACCATCCTTCTTGACGCCATGCACACGATCCTTTCTAAAGGAATTTAACAACACTGCCCCGAATGACAATGATATTCAGGCACCTACGGGATCGTCTCTGGTATTTACTTGACATGTACATTTTCTGTGGATGATGCTGATGATTAGGATGACAACAAATTAATGAAATGATAATGCCAAGGATAACGATAGCTATACTGAACATGATAATGACAGCTAAATTATATTGATAACATTAAGAATGTTAGAAACTGAAACTTACAAAAGTAATATTTAATAGTATGGAAAATAATAGGCCTATCAGTAGTATTATAGTTATAGTATTTGTTATTGAAACTATGAACTATCCTAAAATTGTTATTATTATTATTATTATTATTATTATTATTATTCTTATTATTATTACAGTATTATTAGAGTAATATTATTATTATTATTATTATTCTTATTATTATTATTATTATTACAGTATTATTAGAGTAATATTATTATTATTATTATTATTATTATTATTATTATTATTATTATTATTATTATTATTATTATTATTTTTATTATTATTATTATTATTATTATTATTGTTTCAGCCAAAGAGAAAAGCAGCATGGGAAAACACTTTCATTTTTATTCTGTTAAAAGAATCTACTGTCCATGAAGACATTTCTATTGACAGGATTACTATCAGGATTCACATCAGGATTCAGGCCATTTTTTTTCTTAGTTTTTGCAATAATTTTTTTCAGCCTGACAAAATGAGTTGTCTAGAGACAATGTAACCAAAGTTTTTGATGGAAAATTAAATTGTTCTGGAATTTAGACCTATTATTTATGTGTATTATACACATAAATAATAGATAGGCCTATGATACATTTCTGCAGTAGGTCCTAGTACTAGTAGTATTTTTTCTATTTCCATGCATCCGTAATAATTAGGAAAAATTTCTTACAAAACAAGATTTATGAAAGATTAAAAAAAAACTATACAGAAGTCTCCGCCTGGCAAGCGGACAAGGCCATACTTTAAACTGGCATCCAGGCACTCCATCGAACGTCCTATTGTTAGCATCTCAACTGACCCACTTCTGTCAGAGCGGCGCTCAAAGCGAATTTCTGTAGACCAAGGAGGAAAGTTCTTTCCTCCATGATCAACACCGGCCACACATTTGTCACGTGATGTTGCGTACTCTGTTGGACTGATCACATCCTCACACACGAGGTACCCAATATTAATTGTACAGTAGTTACATAGGCCTAGTTGCTGTATATAATATATATTGATGCCTACGTTTAATAATAGAGAAAATAGATGTTCTATTTTCTCTATAGTTTATTGAATGATGTTTGGCGAATACTGGCGTCCATTTGGTTCCCATGTGATATGTGTGCAGGGAGTTGATAATGTTTTTTCGTTCGTCGTCAGCTTCTTAGCTGGTAGGCTGCTATTTAACGAAGATAGGTCTTTCCGACGGTGCAAACGGCAATTAGGCCTACATGCATGTGCTGCCATTATCGTCATTACCACTTAATTTAACTATTAGGACTATGCAGGCTTTAAACTTTAAACTTGGTTCATTTCAAAGTAAAACTTGTTCAGTATTTTAAATTGTACAAAAACGGTAGTTCAACCGGGGCCTGGTCTAACGACACAGACGCGTTTGTCGCCCAAAACAATAGAAACAATGGCAAACGCGTTCAACAGCACAAACCCGTTTAGACGCGTCTGGGAAGATATTCCGACTAGCTTATTAATATTCATGAGGCACGATAATTAGACGATCGCTTTCCCAGACGCGTTTGTAATACATGGTTTTCCCAGACGCGTTTCTGTCGTTGGGGATAATTTGTAGATCGCGCCTAAGTAAGTATGTAAGTTGGTAGAATTATTTAGTAATATTTGTTTTGCATGATATTAATGATCTCTCTTAATTGCTTCATCCTTCTTAAGGATGCTTTGGTACCTGCGCTGTCCACGCTGTGGTCAGTGCTGCTCTGTTCAGTGCTTTGTAATGACGCTACTTTCAATCGGTAATTCAGTGTAATAGATACTGTAAAATTTGTATATGATTAAGTATGTACTGTAATATTAGCTGGGATGTTCCCCATATGTAAGATTAGACTGGGTTCCAGTCCCTAAACTTTGTCTTAATCAGTAAGCTGGGAAAATCGATTTTGGCACCAATGGCGTCCATATTACCTATTTGTTTGGCGTTTTATAGTATACTTTTTCTTGGATTTGGGACTGGGCAAACAGTAGTTAGGTTCACATTCAGAATTTATCGTGAGTTCGTTTATCATGATGTTCTATATGAACCGGCGAAGCGTGTTCATCATGATCTTCTACTTCATGTTAAACCGCAACATCGTGAGTTCGCTTATCATGAAGAAGCATCAGGGTTTCGGTCCCAACATCATGATAAATTAATTCATAGGTCGAATTCAACCAATAAGCGCTCATGTTGAAATGGGTCACCGCACATGATCTCCTAACTTTTAAATCGTTCGTGGGGTTTTTTTTATTTTTGTGGTGAAGTGAAGCAACGAAGTGAATCTTTCATAATATTTTGGTTGTAATTAGTTAATAGTCGAAAGAACAATGGTGAGACATAAGTGGACGTACAACCAGGAACGAGATCTAGTAGAAATCTGGGGTAAACCAAAGAATAAAAAAAGATTAGAAAACAAAATGTACAGGCAAAAAGCCCAGATACACGAAGAAATTGCCAGGCGATTTAACGGAGAGAGGATATGAAGGGATGACAGCCGATACAGTATCCTCCGATGTTCCCTGATCATTTGCAATGTTTGCTATTTCTAACTAAATCTGGCGTATAAATTATTATAAGGCATATTAGTGGTATGCATCTGACAGTCAGCAGACTCGAACATTTGCAATAATAAAGGTAAAATTGGTGTAAAGTACTTGGGCAACATGACGAACGAATTCAAATCACCAGCGAGATACACAAAAACAAATTTTTGCGCTATCATCCCAGGCAGTAGACCTCGCTGAGGTAGGGCTTCCGGTGGTTTGAATGCAACACTGCACCTCATTAGCATAAATAGATCATGATAACTTTATCACGATATATTATGTGAACGTGCCTAGTGAGGATTTCGATTGCAGCCACCACGATTTCGTGGTGGGTGACGTATTTAAATGAAATGCATAGATTGGCTAATCACCAAGATAATTTTAAAAAATTTTGCTTCTCCTCGGGCTGGCTTTTGATAACGTGCATAATAAATTAGCCAGAGTTCAACTTTTCGGTGAAAGGAATTTTAGGCTTAGGCTGGTTAGCTAGGCCGTAGACTACTGTAAAGAATGAATGGAGACGTGACAGCGAGTATTCATTGTGATAAAAACGCTTGGATACGACAGCGTGAAAAAGAATCAGAGTAAAGTGTTGGAAGAGGTGGTTCGGGGGAATGATGTTTTTCTATGCTCTCCCACCGAGAGTGGAAAATCTTTGTGTTAATCAGCGTTACCATCATTATTGGAACACTTATCATCAGGGAATGTCAAACCAACCTCAAGTATCGTTATTGTAATTACGCCGTTATTGTCACTCATGCAAGAACAGGTAGGCATCTACAAGTTACGTTGCCACACCCACTTTCGCTGTCGCCGTAAATATGTGACTGAAGCCATCGGCGGCCCAGCATAGCTGTTAGTAATTAATTCGTAAAAAATACAGTTTTGATTGGTTACTGCTGAAGTTTTGACCTCAAAATGTCAAACGGAAGTTATTCTACAGCTGTGTTATTTTTCCATATTTTTTCTCCGACGTTTATCGCGGTTTGCAACATTTGAACATTGACGATCGTAAAACACGCTTATTTTTCATTAAACGTAAGTGGGTCCATTATTTTGATAATAAGGTCCATAATTAGTATGTTATATTGCATCATTTGACCAAGATTTAGAAAAATTGGTGGCCGGGAAAGTGCAATTTTGCCACGGGGTTCCGACTCCATTTTGTAGTCACTTCGTGGCGTTATTCTGTGTAGTGTTAAAGAATAGGCTTTTAGCTGTGCGAGCGATGACCACGGATCGAATGAAAAATACCTAGTATTTTTATACCAAATATATTATAATAGTAGATATAGCATGTAATATTGGTACATTATATACTATTTGTTACTTGTAATTATGCTTTTCTTTCTAAATATTTTAGATTATAGTGATTTTCTATGATTTTAAATTCATTAAAAAAATCGGCCTATGAACATTATTAGCTTGGGTGTTCATTTTGTAATGTGGCCAATCAAAGCGTGCGGTGGTACCTAGGCTGGTAGATTAATGTTTTTTACACATTTTTGGGCATTATGTGTAAAGAAATTTCTACTATGTAAATTGTAATTTTTTATCTTTCAGGTATTTATCATTTGCCTAAAACTTTCCTTCTAGGCATAACTGTATTGATATTTTTAATTTCTGAAAATCATTTGGTAAGTATTTTTTTTTAAATAATACCGTAGTTTTTTAAATAATGTTCTAAATAGGCAATATATTTTCAGTAAATGGTGCATAATCTTATGATCAATTGATAATAATCAGTGATGATGGTGATGACAATAGTGTCAATAGCTCTGATTATTATTATTATTTTATAATGATTTGATTATTTAATTGTAAACAGTTCTTTACATTGTTTAATACAGTGAATCCATAATAAGTAAAAAAAAAAAAAAAACACTAATTATGATTTTATTTTTTAATAGGCAGTACATAGCATTGATGAACCCGCTGGAGCAAAGACTCCACTACAGTTTATTAGGGAGAACTATACTTCCAAATACCAAGCGATGCAGGTTTATTGAAAAATGGCCACATTTTCTACACCTATATTTGCCTTCAAAAAAAGGTGTTCACTAAGGTAGCTGACATCTTAGAAGACAGCCATAGCATCAAGATTGCTAAAAGCTCTGTAATGAATTTGGTAAAAAAAATTCAAGTCTTTCCATTCAATTAAGAAAGCTGCCACTTTCACTAATTTTAAAGTTTTCTGTGACGATGATTTTTCCAAGTACAAGCGTGTAGACCTTCCTCTAGCAAGGCAAGAACCAACTAGTTCCTCATCCAACGTCCCTTCTCTGGAAGATTCAACAGCGTCATCATCTACTCCGAAACCAGTAACTCCTCCCAAACCGACATCAGGTGAACGATCATTAAAGAGAAGAGGGAAGTTAACACCAGTAAAAGCACAGATGCAAAAAAGATTGGACTTCAATGAAAAGCGTATTGAAGAACTCAAAAGAAAACTGAAAGCATCTAAAGCAAAGAAATTGAAAGATAAATACCGCTACTGGAGGCAAAAAGTAGCCAAAAAGGAAAGTCAGTTAAAGCATAAAAAGGATAAATTAGCATACATAAAGAAAACAGATGATGCAAAGATATACAGAAGAAAGTACCATGGAGCACAGAGGATGATTGAAAGATTGAAGAAGAAAGTAACTGTGTGCATGAAAGGAAGAAGACATAAGACAAATAAAAGAAAAAAATAAAGAAATCTTTGCCCTACAAGACCAGGTATTACAATTGGAGGAAAAAGTCCAAAACTTAGAAGACCTGGTTGAGCACACATCAAAACAGAGCTCGTTTGATGGTGGTAAGGGGAAGTCCTACAATGCGAACACTAGGCAAATTATTTACCAAATGCTGGACTGTTCTGTGCCGACTCAGCACATTCCTGTGTTGATGAAGAAGATGGCAGAAAACTACGGGGTAAACCTTGCTAATGTACCACACCCATCTACGGTACAAGCAATCGCTCGGGAAATGGGAGTCATCTCTGACTTCATAACCGCTGAGTTTGTAATACAAACTGAAAACCTGACCCTTGGGTTTGACGCAACAACCCAAGAAGGAGTGCATGTTAACTCCATTCA